TAATTGGCATTTAATCGGATTAGATTAGCATAAGACCCTAATCACCCCCCCTCTAGGGTCTAACAATACATTCTCTCTATACCTTTACCTTTCACGTCTGTGAGGACTCCCATGGTTGCTTCCCACATTTCTTCCATATTTTCCTCATAAGGATCCCGTCCGTCAGTAGGGATATATTTATCCCTTGATCACTTTGAGTGGATTTTGTTGACATAGTATAACTATTGTCAAATACATCAAAGAATTGTTTTTTCATATGCTCAAGGCATTTTTGCTGAATTTCAGCCTCTATAGCTTGAGGGTATTTCCTCTTCATTGTTTTTGCTAGTTTGATGATAGGATTTTCATTTTGAATTTTCTGAGTTAAAGTATTATCAAGGAATATTATTCCTCTCAATAATCTCTTCTATAATATCAAGGAATATTATTCCTCTCAATAATCTCTTCTATATTATCAAGGAATATTATTCCTCTCAATAATCTCTTCTATCTGTTTCACTCTTGACATAAAGCTCTAGGACTTGGATAAGAGATTGTAGCATACCTCAGTTTCACTCTTGACATCACCAAAAGTATTGAGTTGAGGTTCAGTAGGAACTAAAAGCTCCGAAAACCATGCTTCAAGCTCCTCTGCGCTCATGGACGGACTTGATGGTTTCTCCACTTCTACTGATGCCACTTCATTTGGCTGGTTTGAGCAGTTACTTGCATTCTCAGACTGTATAATCTCAGAATTGACATTATCAGACTGCGGGGAGACATACTCGTTGATATTCACATCATCTTGCATCCAGCCATCACGTTTGGTTATGCGGCAGAGAACAAATGCATCCTGTACAAAGATGATCAAGCTCGTGAGTATGAAAAAATCGGTCATGTGAGAACGCTAACATGGCTTAATCCGTTGTATAAAACATAAAGGGTAAATCGCACACAACCGACCTCATTCATGACTTCAGTTTCCATTTTTAGAAAGATTAATTGCAAGTAACACCCATGTTCCTCATGCATTAAGTGGTCCTGAATGCTAATAAATGGGTTAAGGGATGTTTACTGCAGCTGAAGGTAGAGTTGAAGAAGTGATGTGCAATTTACCGAAATATAAATCTAATCTATCCTCATAGACACCTTAAACTTGCATCAGTAATTGCTTGTGTTCTTGGATTCAGCTTATTTGTTTGAGCTAAGTTTTGATAATGCAGAACGACCAACCAACCAAAAGAAAAGGCATTTTATTTTGCAAGGAGAAGGGGAATTTGTGATGCTTGGTGGAAAAATCTTTAGACCCTTAAATCGGGGCAGGCTTACTTTTATCGATTTTAACTTTGATAGAATAAATTTTGCCTAATGAAGAAGAGGCATGATTTTACCTTCAACTCTGGATTAGCTTTACATTCATTTTCATTTAAATAGTACTCGTGCATGATCCAATCTGTACGCTTGCCGCAAGGAGGTCGACCTTCATGGAACACGAGGGTCTTTTTGGTGCCTATAGTGCGATTTTTGTGCCTGATGTCCCGATCTTTACCGGTAGACTTCCAATAACCTGCTGCTGTGGCTCTATTTGAGCGGGAACCATTGGGATACTTCTTGTCTCGAGACGCAAAGAAGTGCCACTTGCTATCTCTAGTGGGAACTTGACATCTTGCTGAGAAATAAAAAAAGATGAGGATAAGAACCTTGAGATGAAATTTATAATATAAGCTCTTCAATTTCCCTGAAAATGAGAAAGATAAGCTCTTCATTTCACTGAACATCAAAATCCGAGGTTCTTGCTAGATTTGCAAGTACCAGCTGTTTGTGACTGATAGTGCTAGGCAAACTCATCAAAGATACAAAATGTATCTATATTTAATACATTAAGAAATCCTCTCAACCGGAAAGGGTCTAAGATAATAAATGTGATCCAATTGAGAAAGAAAATTTGTTCAGTCTCTATGATGTTTATTATTTGGGTAAATTTCAGAATTGACCTATAAGTTTAGCCCATGCTGACATAGCCCCCAAAAAGTTTGAAACATCACTTAACCCTCGAAACTATTTCCAATAACCCCCTAAAAGTTCGTTCTAGAAATATATTCAGAAAAATGAAAATAAACTTTGTTCTGTATATTCCCAGACACCAATTATCCCAGCAAAAAATCCAATGTGCACAAGAAGAAAAGAAACAACATTGAAAAGATTCAGCATTATTACCAGGTAAGTCCCAAGGTTCATGCTTGTAGATGTCAATCTCTGGTATAATGTCTAGATCAATCTTCCGGCCAAGAAGTTTCCCCTTCAAATAATGAGAAATAAGTTCGACATCTGTTGGATGAAAACCAAACCCTGGGGGCAGAGAAAACACGCGTAAAGCGTCCATCTGATGAAAGGCCAGCAACTGGAGGACCAACAAAAAACAGGATTAGTTTTAGTAATTTACAATCACATAGAACTAAGAGCAAAGGTAAAATATCTATATAAACTAATATTAAAGATCTATATAAAACATAGAAGGAGAGTCTCATGAAGAGAAGCAGGATATGCTTCGGATATAGTGATGGAAATTTTATTTATCAAGTTCATTCTTGTATATCAGGGAAAATATGGACAGGAACTAAGATTGCATTTGCATATATTTAAGTTGAGACCAGCTTCGCCCAAATCAAATTCACACAACTGACGCCAGATACAAAGACAGAATGCGTTTAAATTAAAAAAAAAGCAATTAACCACTATAATATATGCAATTAAATTCAATAACAAAGGCCATGGTTTTCAGTGCTCTATCGATCACAGAAATAAAATTCTTACAAGTTACAAAGCCAAAGGGGAACATTACACCTGACCCCTGAAGAACAAAAGGAGAATACTAAGAAGAACACCAGGACAACAAAAGATCAGTAGTATCAAATCTGCGGCAAATATGAATTATTATCTAAAATAAGAAGTTTTGACAACATAAGAAATAGATGTAACAAAAACATAGCCTCAAAGTGCAAATATCGAACTTTCGAGGCATGACAATTTCGACAACCTAGCTAACAAATCTATCGATCTCTATTGCGGGCCAGAAATATTTTAAATGATGTCTCCACATATTATCCTCCATTGATACTGCCTCAATTCTTATTCCATTGTCCCTTCACCTTGTTACAAATCTATCTCAAATTTCCCAATTAAACTTTCTATTAAAAAAACCCCCCAATTAAGCTAGATTCTTTTGATTCACTCTTATATTAGTCATTAGCATTAAGTCCTTGTACGGTGTAAATCCAGGAACTAACAGGTCGATTTATGAAAGACATCCTATTGGATCAAATTCACTAAAGTTAATCCAATCCAGAGTTTAAAAAAAAGAAGCCAACAGCACCAAGAAATTCAAATTCAAAACATTATACAGATCATCATCAATCCTCAACAAAAACCCATCAAACAAATCACCAAACTAGCGCGAAAAGATCAAAAAGTTGAGAGCTTGGCATACTTCTTTGAGTCAACGGCAGCGGCGGTGACGGGATCAGGGGAGCAGAGCGAGGTACAGGGAGGAGGACTTAACGATGAAGAAAACGTGCAACCCGCGGGGTCTCTATCTTTACGCGGTCTCTTGGGATCCGGTTACTCTCCCCTCTATCGGGTGAGATTACCGCCCCTTTCCTCTGCTCGCGTGGATATGGACTGGAGTACAGTCACCGCCTGCGAAAGTTCCGCGAGAGTGGGGGATTCCTTCATTGTGGATGCAAATAAAACTGGGAACTCCGCTATGATGACGTCATTTTGCCACGTCAGCATAACGTTGGATGGTGACTTGGTCGTTCTCCTTTGGGCTTTTGCGGGTCGTTGCCATTAGCCTGGCCCATTATTGATCCTCGGTCCACATGGCTAGACTTCCAAATTAGGATGTATGATTGAGATAATAATGTGATATGGATTTGAGGATAGATTCAAGATAAAGAACTCGAATTGGCTATATCAAAACTATGATTTCTAGTTTAGGGAAGAGTCTATCAATGCAAATATATCCTACCAAATTATAAAACAAGTAGTTCATTAGTGACCAATAATGTCTCTAGATCGAATATCAACTTGCATCTTCAATTTTTTTCCGTTAAAAGCACGAGTTCGAAAAAAGTTTTCAGTAGACAAAAATACATTTGAGATTCAAATACTAATCCATTAAGCAAGAGCTGTTGGATTTAAATCTAATTAAATATATTTGTGGGCACATATGATTAATCAATGTGTATTACTATCTTTAAGGATAACCCACTTAAAGTGATCAAACATATGATTAATCAATGTGTATTACTATCTTTAAGGATAACCCACTTAAAGTGATCAATCAATTTGGGTTAATAGGTTAAGGATAACCCACTTAAAGTGATCAATCAATTTGGGTTAATAGGTATTTAAATAAATCATGGGGGGTATATGTGCAGATACCATGTTGTAATTGTAATTTGATGAGGGACCAAATTATAAATATACAACACCTATATATAAGGGGTTATGGTCCCTAATCTAGGGTTAACCACTCTCATTCTCTTATCCCCATCTAAAAAGATCCATAAGAGAGAAACCCTAAGGTTAGAAGATCATCAAAACCCTAATCAAGTTTTCTTCAATGGATTCAGGTATATGCTTCCGCACCTTTTGATTCTTGTTAATCTTTTTGAATTAAATCATGGCTTTATGGTTTAGATCTCAAGTTTTTATTAGATCTAACAAGTGGTATCAAAGCCACCTTTGATTTGTTCTAAGAGATTAAGATTAAAATTAGGGTTCTTTGATCTTAATTTGTGTTTGATTCAGATCCGTTCACGGATGAACAATAAAGTTTCTTATTTTTTGGATGAACAGTAACCGTTTTTATTTTTGGGTGAACATCAATTTTTTTATTTTCGGATGAACAGTAAAGTTTTTTATTTTTGGGTGAACAGTAAAATTTCCAGGTTATTTGGTTTTTTCTTTCGATTTTTGGATCTGTAGCAATTATGAACTCTAAAGTTCATTTCTTTTGTGTTTGATTCAATTTTTTGAGGTTTGGATCTAAATGATTTGAGTTCAAAATCGACAGAAAAATAATTATCTTTTTTTGGGATTTTTTGATCTGTCGTCAATCTCCAAAACTCCTCGCCGGGGTTGATTCAGCGGCGGCGGTTTCAGATTAAACCCTCAAGGGGTTCGTGCGCGTGAAAACGTGCGGAAATTAAGGAGGTGGTTACCTCAATTTTTGGCGAGGCTTGAAAGCTTCAAACGAACCTTGCGTTCGTTCTCTAACGAAACATGCGTTCGTCGAACGTTGCGTTCGTTCTCTAACGAACCCTGCGTTCGTCGAAACCTGCATTCGTCGAAATTTGCATTCGTCGAAACCTGCGTTCGTCGAAACTTGCGTTCGTCTAATCCTGCGTTCGTCGAATCCTGCGGCGAGCCTCGTGCTCAGTCAAACGAGCCTTGCGTTCGTTCCAAAACGAGCCTTGCGTTTATTCCAAAATGAGCCTTACGTTCATTCTGGTGTCCTTTTTTTTAAACATTGGTCCTTGACTTGAGAAATTTGTTAAGAATTTGGACCTGTATTTAATTATCAGGTATAAGCTCCTTTAAGCTCGTTTTGGGCACAAGGATTAATTGAATTTATCAATTAAATCCTATTTGTGGGTCATAAATCATTATGGGCCCTTAATTAAGCTATGGAAATTCAGTTGATTTAAATTAAATTATTTAATTTAAATTAAATTTGGTAGTGGATCAATTAGTTATTTCAAATAATATGACACTAAGGTATTAAAGTTGTCTTTCATTCTAAATGATCGATTGAAACAAGAAGTTGCCAAAGTAACCTCTCTTGTGTAGATTGTTCATGAGAGATGTTAGATGTTTGTGTGTATGTTTTCGTGTAAATATTTAATCGGCCCAAAGGAAGGTTATTATTTATTTTTAGATTGCATACGCATCTGTGATGATAAATACGTGACGATTATAAGGTTTATATGTGGGTAATGAATCGATCCAAAAATAGTTTTATTATTTGACATGCGTTATTGTCAGTATTTGATCATTGCAACAAGGTATCACTTGCAATTAATATTACTGTCTAAAGACTTGATATTAATGTTGTACCAGATACCTTGAGATGGGATTTATCATTATTTGAATTGATCACTAATTAAGGTTAAAAATCTTTTGTTTATTTCAACTAGTGCATCTGCTGCAATAATTTCTGCTAACATCAACTCAATTCCCATGCTTAATGGGACTAATTTCAAGGTTTGGAAAGAGAACATTTTAATTGTTCTTGGCTGCATGGATTTAGACTTTGCATTAAGAACTGAACAACCCCAACCTTTCAATGCGGATAGCACTCCTGATGCAAAGAAGGAGTATGAGAAATGGGAGCGTTCAAATCGCATGAGTCTAATGATCATTAAGCGCGGCATTCCGGAAGCCTTCAGGGGCATAGAATCCGAAGGGATTACTAAGGCTAAAGATTTCCTTGCCGAAATTGAGAAACGTTTTGCGAAAAACGATAAGGCAGAAACAAGCACACTTTTAGCTCGCTTGATTTCAATAAAGTATAAGGGCAAAGGAAATATCAGAGAGTACATTATGGAAATGTCTCACATTGCTTCAAAGCTTAAGGTACTTAAACTCGATCTTTGTGATGAGTTATTGGTACATCTGGTTCTGTTGTCTCTTCCTGCACAATTCAATCAGTTTAACGTCAGTTATAACTGTCAAAAGGAGAAATAGAATCTAAATGAGCTCATTTCATACTGTGTGCAAGTAGAAGACAGGTTGAAGCAAGATAAGACTGAAAGTGCTCATTTGACATATGCCTCTAAGGATAAGGGCAAGAAAAGAAAGAATGATAATGAAGCTGCTAAGGGTCCTGTTCAGAAGAAAGAAAGAATGATAATGAAGCTGCTAAGGGTCCTGTTCAGAAGAAACAACATAAGGATGGTCAGGGTTGTTTCTTCTGCAACAAGTCTGGACACGTAAAGAATGATTGTACCAAATATCACACCTAGCGTGCTAAGAAGGGTATGTTCCTTACTTTGATCTGTTCTGAGATTAATTTAGCTTCAGTACCTAGAAACACTTGGTGGTTAGACTCTGGTGCTACTACTCACATAAGTGCTTCTATGCAGGGCTGCCTGAGCTATCGGAAGCCAAGTGATGGTGAAAGATACATCTTTGTGGGCGATGGTCAGTCAGTAGATGTGGAAGCAATTAGGCACTTTAGGTTGCTGTTAGGAACTGGTTCATATTTAGATTTAAAAGATACTTTTATAGTACCGTCTTTTAGATGGAATTTGATTTCAATTTCTATATTGGACAAATCAGGTTACTCTTGTTCATTTGGAAACAATCAATTCAGTTTATCTTTTAATTCAATTATTGTAGGAACTGGTTACTTGAGTACTTGTGATAACCTATATTTGCTTTATACAATTGCTTCTTATAATGAATCCTTACATGTGGAATCACGTGGTACTAAGCGTAAATTAAATAAGGAAAATTCAGCGACATTATGGCATAAGCGCTTGGGTCATATCTCAAAAGGTAGAGTTGAGCGTCTTGTGTCTGATGGTATTTTGGATTCTCTTAATTTTTCAGATTTTAACGTATGTATTGAATGCATTAAGGGAAAACAGACCAAAGTAAAGAGATTAGGTGCCAATAGATCTTCGGATGTCTTAGAATTGATACATACGGATATTTGTGGGTCATTCCCTACGGCATCTTGGAATGGTCAATAATATTTTATATCATTCATAGACGATTACTCACGTTATGGGTACATATATCTCATTCATGAGAAATCTGAGACTCTGGATATGTTCAAAGCTTTTAAAACTGAATTTGAGAATCAACTCAACAAAAGAATTAAAACAGTTAGATCTGAACGTGGTGGTGAGTACTACGGCAGATATGATGGTTTAGGTGAACAACGTTCAGGACCATTTGCTAGATACCTAGAGGAATGCGGTATTATCCCACAGTACACCATGCCGGGTTCACCTAGCATGAATGGTGTAGCTGAAAGACGAAACAGGACTCTTAAGGATATGGTAAGAAGTATGCTTGCTCATTCTTCTTTACCAAAGTCTCTCTGGGGAGAAGCACTAAAGACAGCAGCTTACATTCTGAATAGAGTACCAAGTAAAGCAGTTGCTAAAACACCTTATGAGCTTTGGACTGGTCGAAAGCCCAGTTTAAAGCATTTATATATTTGGGGATGTCCAGCTGAGGCAAGGCCTTATAGGCCAAATGAAAAGAAATTAGACTCCAAAACAGTTAGCAGCTACTTTATTGGGTACTCTGAACGCTCTAGGGGCTATAAGTTTTATGATCCCACACTAAGGAATATTTTTGAGACGGAAACAATAATATTCTTTAAGGATGTTGAGTTTGGGGGGAGAAATAAGGTTAGAGACATTAGTTTTGAGGAGGAATTGGCTTCAGATCCAATCCATACAGTTACTTTTGATAATATTCAGGTTCCTATACCTGTTGTTGCTCAAGAAGTAAATTCGGAACCTCAAGATGACAATGTTGAACAACTCCCTGTTCCAGAAGAACAAACTCAACAACCTCAAGAACCACCAGTGCCATTAAGGAGATCCACGAGAGAAAGGAGAAATGCTATTCCAGATGATTTTATTATATTTCTCCAAGAACATGAGGAGAGTAGTGGAA